ACAATGAGGCATCCCACTTAGACTCCTTACCATGTGAGAAACATATATGGGAGAGACAGACAGCTGTCTCTATGGTTTGATTCTGGGGACAAAAAAAAAAAAGTCAGTATACCCACCTAGAAGTATTCCTCCCACTGATGCCTTAAGTCTTAGCTACCTTGAAATCCTCACCATTGGAGGTATAGAGTTTATTGGTGTGCAAAAGACTGATGCAACATTTATCCATTTTCACATTTCAGGATTTAGCATCTGCTTCTTTGTGCTCAACACATCTCTCTTGGGTAAACCCATTAACCCATGACAAGATTGTTTTATTTTTTTCAGATTTATAAGCTGCCTTCTTAGGCCTGGAGAGGATAAACGATAGTGATGGTCAATGCCAGCACAAGACAGTTTCATGGTCAATAAGCCTCAAAGACAAGGGAAATATGGAATCCATGTAAGGTCACTAAAGCTTCTCCTTCAAGGTCAATTGGCTTGTGGCTGACCTTACCTATATGGCCTTGAAATTCCAGGTAAGAAGTAAAATGAAAACAAACTCACATTCACTCAACTGACATTGTTTTATCCAAAAGGTAAATGCAGAATACCTTCAAAGTATCTATCAGATAAGAAAATAAAGTGTTTTTCCTGAGCACAGAGGCCATCAGTTTTTGAGGTGACCATTTCCTTCTGTATGATATGACATAGGAGTTGGGTTGGGTGAGTATAATAAAGGAGAAAAGAAGGCCCATGGTGACCCAGAGCTTCAGCCTGCTCCAGCCATACCACTCCAGATCCCCAGTTGATCACAATTCTTCACTTACGATAATGTGGCCTCTCTCTTGTGTGAGACTGATAAATAACTGTGCTAAGCACATATATCACTTCCATTGCACTACTTACTATTCACTCCCCAATAAGGCTTCAGATGGTGGGTTGGCCAGGAGGAGGCCTTAATCATGAGTCACTTAGTTTGCCTTATTCAATCCCTGATGGGAAGCTATGGCTACATTCTGAAAGCACTGGGAAAATGGAAAAGGGGTAGAATCAATGAATGTTAAAATTGAAAGGCCTCACTTTCAATATATGATCTCACTTATAAGTGGAATCTAAAAAAGTCAAACTTTTGGTAGAGTAAAATAGGGTTACCAGAGACTGGTGAGGAGGAGGTGGACAGGGAAAGAGGAGACATTAGTGAATGGGCATAAAGTTTCAGTTAGACAGGATAAATCAGTTTCGGTGTTTTATTGCACCACACAGTGACTATAGTTAATAACAATATATTGTATATTAGCTGAAATAGAGGATCTTAAATGTTCTCATCACAAAGAACTGATACATATTCAAAGTGTTGAATATGCAAATTCACCTGATTTGTTCATTCCACAATGTACACATTTATCAAAACATCACGTTGTATCCCATAAATATATACAAATGTACAATTATTATTTGTCATTTAAAAATCTAATTAAACTTAAAAAAATATCCGAAAGGACACCTAGACTTAGCCCAGTTCAAAACTTCCTACAGAGTTAGAAGTGGGGAAGCAAGGTGGGAAGCATAGATTATCATCCCCTTTTGACCCTCACTGTTGAGTCTACCAATTTTTTCTTGGTAGTTTTAGTTTACAAATGAAAACTAAAAGAAGTTGATGTGGTGCTATTTCATATATAGTCTGAGAGTTGGAAACAGTAGTTTGAGGACCCAATATGGCTTTTTTTTTTCCAGGGAAGGAGAGATTCATTAGTTTTCTTTATAAATATATTATTTTTCTTAACTGGAACTGAATCAAGGAATGTGATCTACAAACATACAGAGAGTAAAACAACATTTTTCTTCATTTTATCTTTCAAGTACCTTTCTGATCTATTGAATGCTTATGAATTACACGGACTGGCAGACTGACTAAGACCAAGGATTAAGGTGGATGAGATACTGACAGATCTCAAGTCTACAATATTTTCCTGTCAGGATTCAAAAGATCCTAACCCTCAAAATCTGATGTCTTATAGAGATAGAGTCATACAGCTCAGGTGAATGTCAGTAGGGAGATTTAATCAGTTTTTTTTTCTGGAAAAAACTCCTATATCCTAGTCCCAGAGATATCAAAAACTGTGAAATAAAAAATGCAATTCCTATCAAGAGACTCAAAGTCAAAAACTGGGAGCTCCAGGCTGGCAGAAGAAATATGAGACCGGCAGGTGTCAAATCTATACTCATGCCAAGTGGAAACAAGAAGTTAGTGAGCTCTCCAGCCCACTAGGAAACTATGAGAAACACACACAGAGACAACATACGCGGATACGCTACACCATGTATCACCGTGCCAGGCAGAGAAGACCTCAGGTCAAGTGCCAGATCTGGAATCAAGCTGAGCCCCATCTGTCAGTCACAGAGCAAGTGGACAAAGAAGTACAAATAGTAGAAGTGAAATACCAGATGTGAAATTTGAGGAATATATAAGGTACATATGTAGCATCCTGTAATTATTACTTAGGTACAACATATGGAAACATCTGGAAAAAATTTGTGGACTATGATTCTCATGAGGCTCAAGAAACTCTTTTTTGGTTTTAGACTTGCAAGTTGGTATGGAACAGAGTGCAGTTACGGAACTGGTAGGTTCTTTATAAGGATGTGTGGGCAGGTGGTGAATAAATAAAATAAAGGAACAAAAACCAATGAAGAGAGCTAACATAACAAAAAGTTCTACCTTACATGTTTATTTAGAGATGGGAGGCATACTCCCGTAAAAAGTCAGCTATACAGCGACCAGAAAACAGCTCATAGTAATAAAAATACATACGATAGATAACAACAGCTCTTAATAGTCAACAACCAGAAACAAGTATACAATAAGTTACAGCAAAGCAAATGAAAACTACGACTATATACCAAACATGAATGACCCTCATGAACGTAACATGGAGCAAATAAAGCCAGACACAAAAGAGTGTATCCATGAATAAAACACTAAAAAATACTAGTTATCTTCATAGGAGAGTAGTGACTGGAAGGAATTACAGAGAGGCATCTGGGATGCTGGTAATATTTTGTTTCTTGATTTATGTGCTGATTGCATACTTTGTAAGAATTCATTCAGCTGTATACCTATGACCTGTGTACTTTTCTGTATTTTCTATCCCTATTATTTTCTATCCCTATTAAAAATATTATAGCAATGTTTCCCATTTGTGTTCCATAGGGACTCTGTCGCCTAAAGAAATGTGATTAGGTGGTTCTTCTGTAAAAGAGTTTGGTGTTCAATAAGTTGAGAAATGCTGGGAATGACATAGGACATTTCAATCCATGAGTGGGAACACATCCACCCTCCTTGATGGCCTCTGACCCATTCATACTGCACCTCCTTCAAGTTTCCCCAAGGCTTTTTTCTGGTCTCCCAAATTTTGGCCACAACAGAAACTGCGTGAAAGAATGTGGGTCAATCTATATAGTTCACCCCCTGATGGAAGAAAACCACTGTCAGCACATACTGTATTCAACCAGTCTGAATCAGCAGCGTCACCTCTGTATGGAAGCGTGCACATTTAAAATATGGCGCTGCCTGCTGTTTTAGATGGACCTCTCCATCCAGCGCTCTTACGCCCAGGCAATCAGTGCAGTAAGCTGGCACATACTTCATGTCATTTGCAAATACAATGTAGTGAAGGAATATGGAAAAGCAGATTTTCAAATATAGCTTTTCACAACTGCGATTTGGGAATGCTCAAGTGATCTCAGCATCCTTATGGGTTTGCAGCTCAAGAAACAGTTTCTCCCAAATACTCGAAAGTTGTCATGAGTTGACTCTTACAATCACCTAATTTTTCTAGTCACTTATGTCAAAACAAACCTTTGCTCCTTTACAGCTAGCATTTTGCCTGTTCACGGTGGGGTGGACAGCTGCATTCACTGATTCAGGCTCTTGCCTCTTTTCTCTTAAACTCTTTTTCACTCATTACCATGAGGAAGATTAGAATTTGGAGCCTGTCTGTATGCATGCACACAAAAATAACAGTTCTGTGTCCTTATCTTTAGGACATTTTTTACCACTTTAGCTATTTAACTTGGCTTAACCAAGCAGCTGGTTTACTTTTAGCTATTTATTTCTACCAAGTTCTAACCAAAAGAAAGAAAAGAAAAAGAAAATCACCTAAATTTAGTGAAGTACCCTTTTTGTGGAGTGGGAAAGGAAGAGGAGGGAGCAATGCATCTTCAAAACGTCAAATAAACAATTTGCCTAAAGCCCATCATTTCTCTTTTTGGCATCTGGTCATCAGGTCTTTTCATTCTCTTTGCTATGACCCTAATCAGACATACTAAATACCACCCACTACTACTTAATTTACAATGAAGACAAGAAGAGCCAGACAGAGTATTCCAAACCAATGTCTTAAGCAAAGGCATTCATAATAATAGACATCATAATTACGTTACATTAATTTCATACAGGAGAATTCAATTACATATTCCAAAGAAAATCCAGAACAAGCTAATTAACATCATGATGTCCAGTTTGGTGGGAAATCATTTGGATTGGAAAATATGGCTTCATGTCTCAAAGTCTACTAAGAAAATCACATTGCAAACACCAAACTATATCATTCTCAGTGGATAAACAGTAAGCATGATTATGTTTGAAATTGCAGAAGCCGTTAGGAAAAACAGAGATGTAGACAAAATAAAATTAAGAGAAAATTTTATAAATGTTAACTGTCACAGCCATGGTTATATAATCCTGAAGAAAAGCTGAAAAGAGTGTAACAAAATGACTGCTGGACTTCGGTTAGGGCTAAGACATCATGAGCTGCCTCACAAACAATATTTTAAATATGTTTGCTCCAGAAGAAGGAAAAACATTACCAACTGAACAAAGAACTATAAGTATTACAAGTTCACTTAAAAGCAAAAATACTAAGTTTTCATCAGAACAAATTCCTAGTACTGTGAAAAAGAATGGTAAAACTCATGATTGGCTAATTAATGTTCTTATAACCAGTAATGATTGCACCTACCTCATTTAAGTCCTGCCGAGTTTCAAAAGCATCCTTTGGCCAAATGACAGTCCTCTGGTCTATTCTATAAAATACAAAGAAAAATTATTTCCATTTAAAAGAGACTTTTCAATGATGTACATGTGAAGCTGGTGGCTACAAATCTGGCTGTACCCCTGATAAAAAAACCCTTGGTGGTGTCCCACTGCCTGTAGAATAAAATACAGACTCCTTACAATGGCCTGTAGCATATTACAGCACTTGAACCCTGACAACCTTCCTGGCCCCCTCTCCTACCACTCTCACCCTTGTTCACCATACTGCAACCACCCTGGCCTTCTCTCTGTTCCTTGAAAATGTAGTGCTTGCTCCCTGTTCAAACCTTCACACTTACTGTGCCTGAGCCCAGACTGCTCTCCCCTGGGATCTGCATACAATTCACTTTTATCACCATGTATGCATCAGCTCAGCTCACATGGCACCTCCCCTAGGAGGCCTCCCTAACTAGACATGCCCTCACCCTCACTCTCTAGCATACTGTCCTATACATTTTCTTCTTAGCACTTCCTCCTATTTAAATTATTCACTTATTTGCATGTTCACAGTAAAGTGTGAGCTCCAAGGATGTATTGATTATGTTTATTTTCTATACTGCTAAAATCTCACCTATTAAAAATTCAGTAATTCTTTTTGATTGAATGAATGTGATCTGATACAGTTGCAGAAAGATACCATTTGTCTACTGAAGACAGCTTATGGAAATTTCATCGTATCTCTTAACTTACACAATAAATGTTATAATATTTGCTGGGTACCATGGTGCAATAGTTTGGATGTGGTTTGTTCCCACCAAAACTCATGTTGAAATATGATCCCTAGTGTGTCAGTGTTGGGAGGTAGGGCCTAGTGGGAGGGGTTTGGGTCATGGGATCTGTGACAAGGGAGGGATATGGAAGTGAGTTCTTACTCAAAAATAAATTTGTTCCCATTGTGGTTTTGATTTGCACTTCTCTAATGATCAGTGATGTGAGCTTTTTTCCATTTGTTTTTTGGCCCCATGTATGTCTTCTTTTGAAAACTGTCTGTTTGGCTGGGCACAGTGGCTTATGCCAGTAATCCCAGCACTTTGGGAGGCTGAGGCGCGCAGATCACAAGGTCAGGAGTTTGCGACCAGCCTAGCCAATATGGTGAAATCCTGTCTCTACTAAAAATACAAAAATTAGTGGGGCGTGGTGGCAGGCACCTGTAGTCCCAGCTACTTGGGAGGCTGAAGCAGGAGAATCACTTGATTGAACCTGAGAGGCGGAGGTTGCAATAAGCTGAGATCGCGTCACTGCACTCCAGCCTGAGTGACAGAGTGAGACTCTGTCTCAAAAAAAAAAAAAAAAGAAGAAAAGTGTCTGTTCATATCCTTTGCCTACTTCTTTTATGAGGTTGCTTGTTTTTTTTTTTCTTGTAAATTTGTTCAAGTTCCTTATAGATGCTGGATATTAAGACCTTTGAGGGATCCGTAGTTTGTAAAAATTTTTTCCCATTCTGTAGATTGTCTGTTTACTCTGCTGATAGGTTCTTTTGCTGTGCAGATGCTCTTTCATTTAATTAAATTCCATTTGTCAATTTTTGCTTTTGTTGCAACTGCTTTTGGCATCACCGTCATGCAATCTTTGTCTAGGCCTATGTCCTAAATGGTATTTCCTAGGTTGTCTTCCAAGGTTTTCATAATTTTGGGTGAAAACCAAATACTGCATATTTTCACTTATAAGTGGGAGCGAAATGATGAGAACACATAGACACATAGAGGGGAACAACACACACTGGGGCCTTTCAGAGGGTGGCGGGTGGGAGGAGGGAGAGGATCAGGAAAAAATAACTAATGGGTACTAGGCTTAACACCTGAGTGATTAAATAATCTGTACAACAAACCCCCATGACACAAGGTTACCCATGTAACAAGCCTGCACTTGTACCCCTGAACTTAAAAATAAATGAAAGGAAGAGGGAAGGGAATGGAAGGGAAGGGAGGGAAGGGGAGGGGAGGGGAGGGGAGGGGAGGGGAGGGGAGGGGAGGGGAGGGAAAGGAAGGGAAGGGAAAGGAAGGGAAGGGAAGGGAAGGGAAGGGAAGGGAAGGGAAGGGAAGACATTTGTTCCCTAGAGAACAGCTTGTTGAAAAGAGTCTGGCTTCCTTGGTTTCACTCTCTTGCTTCCTCTCTCACTATATGATCTCTGTTCAAGTCAACTCCCCTTTGCTTTCTGCTATGGGTGGAAGCAGCCTGAGGGCCACACCAGGTGCAGCCACCCAATCTTAGCCTTTTCAGTGACCATTATTGCGGGCCAAATAAATTTCTTTTCCTTATAAATTATGCAGCCTCAGGTATTCTGCAATAGCAACACTAAATGGACTGAGACACATGGCGAAGCTGGGTTTTGCCACTACATAGCTGACAACAGATGAAAATGAACTTTAGGCATATCTACCTACAGTAAGTCAATTTTCTTTAGCTTACAAACAAAAACAAAATACACAAAACTCCACTGTTGAAAGATCCTTAGGTCCAAATCATGATTTGTTAAATTCTATGGTCCAATATCATCTATTAAATAGAATTCAAGTTTTTCTGAAACAGTCTGAATACTATTATATAATAAACATATTAACTTATAGTTATTATCCTTATGAAAAGGACAGTTATCTTAATGAATAAGAGATTTTTCAGTGTTAACATTTATAAAAAGATTTCTTTGGGGATCTAATTATTTACAGTTACTATTCTGCTCCAATTTGAATCCTGAAGAAAGCATATATGTCCTCTAAATGGGCAACAAGGTCAATATCTAAACGTCATAATGTACATTTAGAAATACCAGTAGCCTAACTTCTTTAAAATATTCTTAAAAATACATTTTTTTAACTCTATAAGCTTTGCTTACTGTGCAAACAATTTCTAAAGAGAAAAGTTCAGGAGATGGTTACAGAAGAAAATTGTGAAGGTCAAACTAATGTCCTTCATGCCTGAACAAACCAGCATTTCCCTCCTGGGTGGGAGAGAGACTAAGGCTCCCAACCATGCGCTCAGGCATAGACAGCTCAAGGGGAAAAAAAGGGTGAGGAGGAAGACTGCTGGCTCACATATCTTATATCCATCAGTCCCCTGAGACACAAACAGTGATTTCAGTGCATCAGAAAATACAAAATAGCTCTTTCCCACAAAATAGGCAAAAGCAGTCTTAGAGACAGGGGTAATCCACCCACCGTACTCAGTAACATCTAACACTTTGAATGGCTCGTAGTTTCTTTGTAACCCTCAATAGTTCTCAAACTATGTTTCTACAGAGTAGCACCAGCAAAATGGAAGAGTGGTATTCTCTAATAGAAAAAAATATGTACCAGTTTACACTCTTCAAATACAAATTTTTCTAGGGCTTTGGTGCAAGCTCCTTGTTGATGAGTGACAGCAGATGGTAAAACAAATAACCAAGTAGCAAACATTCATGGAAAGAAACAGAAATATACTTTGTTAAAAATATATGGTATATATTAGTGAGATATAGAGAAGAGCCTACATGGAATATACTCACATGATCTTCCAAGAAAACTACTCTTAACCATTAGATAAACCTCCAGAACAAGTTTGAGAACTGTAGTCTAGAGCATCAAAGATAATTTAATTTACTAGCCATCTGAATGTCTACTGTGTGCCTGGTCCAGTGTTGGGGAAACAATAATAGACAATCAGAGGCAGTTCCTTAAGGAGACTTAGAATCTAGTAAAATCTTAAATGATGATAAAGCTAATCAACACTGAGTCTTGAAGCCACTTCAGCAAATCAAGGATCAGGGCAAATGATGTTAGAATGGAGGTGAGAGGCCAAGTGCAGTGGCTCATGCCTGTAATCCTAGCGCTTTGGGAGGCTGAGGCGGGTGGGTTGCCTGAGCCCAGGAGTTTGAGACCAGCCTGGGCAACAGAGTGAAACCCCATCTCTACTAAAATACAAAAGATTAGCCGGGTGTGGCGGCATGCGCCTGTAGTCCCAGCTACTCAGGAGGCTGAGGCAGGAGAATTGCTTGAACCTGGGAGGCGGAGGTTGCAGTGAGTTGAGATTGTGCCACTGCACTCCAGCCTTGGTGACAGAGCGAAAACTTCATCTCTAAAACAAACAAACGAAAAAGAAGAATGGTGGTGAGAAACTGGAGACGTAGAGACAGATAAAAGACATTTTTCAATGATAAAAGCAATCAAGAAGTCTTGGGTGTGGATTCAAAGTATGGAGTGAAAGAGATGGGGTAATCAAAATTATTACAAACTTTTGAGTCTGTGTGACAAGGAAAATGGTAGGTTTTTTTGTTAATGAAGTCAGAAAAACATGTAATGTTTTTCATAAAGAGAGGCAATTCATGAGTTCAGATTTAGACATTTGAAATGAGGCTGAAATAGAGAAGTAAAAATGTCTGGCCAGGGTTCACCCTAGAACTGGGCACTCTACGTGTGTTCAGCAGAGGAAGGGGGTGATGATAATTTCGATGGTGTACAGTGGCCACAGGTAAGGTCATATGGGCAGATTCTGCATCACTTTTTCCTTCATTATATGCTAGGCAAAGAACCTAGCACCTTCTCAATATATACCTTTTCAACAGATGGATAAATTAGAGAAAGAACTAGACCCAAGAATGACTTCAATTCACCAGCCCTTACTACCCCAGGGTGGGTCTTCCAGGCAGTTTACTTACATTATTTTATTTAATCTTCAAGGTCACCGTATGAGACTAGCATTATTATATCTATTTGACCTAATAGGAGAAAGGGTAGTTAAATACTTCATCCATTCAGTCAACAAATATTTTTTAAACACCAACTCTGTGCTAGGTACTGTTGCAGGTGTTGGGAACAAAGCAGTGGATAAAATAAAGTCTGCCCTTGTGGAACTTACATTCTCATGGGAGGAGGAGAACAAAAAGAAATAAACCAGTGATTATGATGCACCAGATGCTAAGTATTATGGAGAAAAAGAAAGCAAGGCAAGAAGAACAGGACATGCAGGAGAATGGCCCAGGCTCACACTGCTACAAAGTGTCAAAGTCACCTAGAGA